TTTCCCTTGTGCTATTAAGAGTCTGATCTTCAGATGTCTGGGTGTCTTCCCAGACAGGAGGGCTGAGGCCATGCTGCAGCTTTGGTCTTATTAGTCTTGATTTGTTATGTCTTCTTTGAGTGCTGCTTCCATTAGTTCTTTGATTGCAGCAGCTTGAGCCAAGCTCGTGGCTGGGCTTTATCCCACTCGCCTCTCGGCAGCAGTGTAGGGATTTACTAAGTTTCATCATCTTAAGGTGGAAGGGAAACCTATGGATCATTGAATGCTACTCCCAAAGTGGAGTTTTGGGGAATCACGGCAAGGCACATGGTGCTTTGGAAAGATCTGGTGGTGGTGCCCACTTGTGATGTTACCCTGGTCTCATGTTGTAGATAGTGCCCCAGAGGAGTAGATTGCAGAACCACGGTGAGGTCACGACTGGGAGCGTTGCCTGGACTTCCCATACGTTACCCCTTCCATGAAGCCACGCTTCACCAACCAAGTTCCCTCTGGGGCACTCTGAGCTTCGGGGAAATGGTGCTGACAAAGTGCTTCAGTCACTGATGACTCGGGGTTTGATCTTTGCAACCCAGCAAGAACCGCTGAACACATCTGCATTCATGGGATCTGTGTCCCGGTGGCCTCGTGACACAGACGATGGGGTTTTGTGGCGCTTTTCCAACCTCGGTTGAAGCCGTGGTGTGGCTCTTGGTGGTGGAGTGTGGGTGCTCCTACATACAGCCAAGTGGAGCTGTTGTGGTCCACGACAGCCTGGCCCCACAGGCAGCTCGGTCTGTGCTGGTTTAACCTTCCCCCAAACCATCTTTGCAGTGTTGCTGCTGGGATGGGTGTTCTAAATGGTGAATTCCAGGAATTATCTCTGCCTGCATCAAGGTAAAACAAGGAACTGATTCCTTGCACCCAGTTCACTTGCTTTCACCACGAGTTCCCCTTCATCTTCGTTAAAATTGGGTGATGAGCATCTGGGAAACTTCCCTCCTAAGGAAAACCAAAGGGTTGCACGTTCTCCTTGAGGATTTTGTCTCCATTTAAGAGAATCCACCAGTTTGATCCAGGTTTAACACTTGGAAAAGGCAAGAGCACCATTTTTCTGCAAAACGATCCCAACCAACCTTTAGTTTGTGCCTGATTTTGTTGTGTCTTGTGATTACCAGGTTGTTTTCCTGATACCTGTGGGTGTCTCCACTGAAAACTCAGCAACGTGCTTTATGTCTTCTCATGAAGCAATGATTCTTCATGGGGGATTTGGGGATTACCTGATGAAACCAGTGCGTGCACATGGTTCCAGAGGGATTGGAGGGAGGGCAGTTGGTTTTATCTTGTTTTGATAAAAAGCTACATCAACACGTGTCCTCACAAGCTGCTTTAGGATTAACCTCAAATTACAGGCTTTATTGTCTAAGTGCTGCATGCCACCAGTTGCAAAAGAAGTTCCTCCCCGTGTTCCTGCTCCTCTCTGCAGCTTCCCTGAAGATTACTGGAAACCGAGTTTCCACCTAAAGCCAGTTACAACATGAGGCTTGGAGAAGGACAATGGGAGGGATGGAAACTGAATCGAATCAGCCAGCGTGGGACGGGTGAAGAAAGGGCAAGTATTTGCTTCCAAATAATTGCCTTCTGCTTTTCATGTGTTGTTTTTCTTAATGAAGGGAGGAGAAAAACCAGTCAGGGTTTGGTCCTCCAGCACCAGAGCAGGTAGATGTTGATGTGGCATCAACTGTGCCTTTGACAGTGCATGGAGGAGCTTGAAGGAAGCACAGGAGGTGTGAGAGAACCTGGAAGGTGGAAGTGAAGAATGAGCTGTGTATGTAAAGCAGGGGGAGGGAAAAACCCGGGTGGATTCATTAGGGAAGCAATTAGCCCCAAGCAGACACGGGGCTGAGATGGGCAGGCGGTTTCTGCTGAGGAAAGATGCTCTGCAAAAGGATTTCCTTGCAACTCCTTTCCTGCTCATCCAGAAAACTCCCAGGACATCTGGAGCACGTCCTTGGTTGTGCAACTGCAAGACACAGCTCTTGAGGTTGGGGTGATGCTCTGGGAAACAAGTGATTGATAGCTCTTAGGTTGGCTGGAAGATTCTCCTTGGGAGGGTGAGCCCCGCAGCGCCATGGTTGCCACGGCGAGGATGGAATCCGCCAGGATTCTATCCTTTATGAACTGGTGGGAGATGTTGTTCTCTTGGCCAATGGTGGGGGCAGAACTGCTGCTCATTTGCATCCTCACTGTCATAAAGAGGGGAGCTGGGGGGGTCTGCAGGCTCCAGAGGTCTGGGCAGTGCAGGGCCAAGGCTGAGCCATGGTGTCCGTTGCCGCCGTGTCTGTTAAGGGGACGAAGAGGAGTACCCAGAAGAGAAGGAGGTCCCAGAAGAAAAGGAGACTCCAGCATGGGAGCAGACACAGGAGCCACAGCAGGACATCTGTGGCCAAGAAGAGGAAGAATTCAGACCAGGAGAAGCATCGTCCCATGAAGAGGAGAAGAGCTTCAAAACACTCCCTCCGCTTTGATGCCAAGAAGCTCAAGGAGGCCAAAGGATCTGGACGGTTCCTCTCCCGCGAGGCCAAGGGGCTCATGATCAGCTTCATGAAGGACATCTACAAGCAAGTGTCGAGCGAGGCCGAGCGGCTGCGGAGGAAGAGCCGCGAGGCCGTGGTGAGCCCCGTGCATGTACGAGGTGCCCTGCAGTCCGTGCTGCCCAAGAGGAGGTGGAAGCAGGTGGCCTTCAGAAGCAAGCACTAGAAAAAGCCTCCTCCTCCCTTAGGATGGGTGAACCCCAAGGGAGAGGGATTAAAGCACCTCAACTGCTGAAGAAGACCTGAGCAACACACCAAGAGTGGGGAGTTTGTTGAGTTAAATTGTCAATGGGGCATCGCAATAAAGCTCCAAAAGCAGCTTTTGGTGGTGTCAGGGGTTTCTTTGGCAGGAAGGGATGACGTGGGGCTGCGTGTTTCATTAGTGAACATCTGTAAGTGTGTTTTGCCTTAATAGAGGCTTCCAGGGCCTCCTTGCTGCAAGTAGATGGTTTGATATATTGAATTACATGTATTTTAATTACCAGCAGATGATGGGAATTGCTGTGAGCAGGGCAAAAAGACCCACTGGTCAAAATTGCCCAAGGATGGTAATGGTGATATCCAGCTGTGCTAAACCCATCCCTCACCAAGGTATTGCCCGTGACAAAGCAGTGGCTCTTCAAAAGAGTAGCCTGTGCAGCAAGGGTGCCAATGGCTTTTAGAATAACGGAGTTTGCCGTGGCTGTGTGTGCTCCGAGGGTTGTATTTGCTGCGAAAAAGCCTATTAGTGGTATCAGCAGAAGGGAAGGGAGAAAAAGGGGAAAGAAATATTTCGTTGCAGAGGGAAAAAACATGCATCCCCTGCCGGGGAATCGAGCCCGGGCCGCGGCGGTGAGAGCGCCGAATCCTAACCACTAGACCACCAGGGAGGCGCTGGCAGCGATTTCTACCGCCGCACTCTGCGATGGGTGAATGGGCGCGATGGGTGAAGGAGGGGGAATTTGGGGTGAAAAAGCGCAGAACAGGCGTTTTCCCTCCGGAAAGGTGGGGTAATGACTGCAATAGGTTCCATCAAGTTTAATTTCCAGGAGGAAAAGATGTGTCAGAAGTGGGATTTGAACCCACGCCTCCATTCGGAGACCAGAATTCCCAGCACAGGGAAAGCAATGCCTTGAGTCTGGCGCCTTAGACCACTCGGCCATCCTGACACTGTCCGAAGGCTTTTCTGCCCTCCTCACTCTCAGCAGTCACTCCACATCCCGTTCTTCCCTGGCTCCTTTGCACCATCCCTAATTCGCAGCGAGGTTGGGGGCGGGTGGGGGGTGGGGTTGCAGCAATAACCCCCTTTTCTGACTGTTTTCTCTGTTGCCCCCTCAGGATAACACCAGGATTTGATCTTTGGGAAGAGCCAGAGCAGCTGGATTTACACGGAAACAGGCCATGATCCCGCCTGCACTTTGGTCATCACCTCTAGGAGCAAAAAGTGGAGGAAAGATGGAACAAGAGGCACCTGCTCACATGGTGCTACCCCCCCCCCCCGATTTAGTTTAATTGAACCCCAAATCGGTTTTATTTCCGTCCTCGCATTGATCATTGAGTGAGTGCAAGCAGTAACCAAGGAAGACCCCAAACCAAGTTGTTTCTCCACAAGGAAACGCAGAAGGAAAAGGGGGTTTGGAGGGAAATCTGGGGGTCTTA